CCTTTCTTGGTTTATCTGTATAAGGATGATGGCCTATATTGTTTGAAAGTCTTCCCAACCTTGCTAGTCTCCAATAGTTCCCATATGGTGTTTGCATAGACATCAGTTTTAAGGCCTAAAGAGTAATGTGATACTTAAGTGTAAAGATACTGTATGTTAATAGCAGAAACAAACAAACTGCTCATACACTGTTTCAAAAATAACAACACAGAGCCCGTCTCATGTATAAGGGTCCACTATGTAATGTGTAGACATAGTATACAGAAAAGGATTATTTAAAGTTGCTCGGTGTTTCACCAGAGGAAATTCTCCATTAAAGCAAGATTCTATGACATGCTGTGTATATTACCTTCATCTCATAACACACGCGACCCTGGGTGACACCATGTGTAGCTCGTGCGCCAGCCCACAGGTAAGCAAAGCCTTCAATGGTCAATGGATAACCACTGTAGCGATCGCGGGACACTTTGAAGTGCAGATCGCAGTTGTCTGAAAAGAAGCCAAAACAGATAGTAAATGTATGTTTGTAAAAACTGGCACCACATATGCATAATTTTAAATGCAAAACGTGACATAAATATGCATTGCTAAAGCTATGTGACTGTATGAGGCAAGTAGTTACTTGAACAAGCCTTGACACTAAAATGCTTCTTTACAATATGCTTGTTTCTCTCTAAAGTCAGTGCTTGCAGTGCCCAAACTGCAGCCTTACACATCCGTGTGATACTTTCCATGTACTAACGTGATTGTAAAATGTGCAAACATGTTCAAAAGAGATATCTCTAAAGCAGATGTCTGGCAATACACTAGTAGAAGGGGCACTGGAGGTTCTGGAGCATGTTCGGGTAAAAGCATCTGTCTACAGCCGTTGTTAAGGAGTTGTGAGATGCAAGATCATTCCTGATTTCCCTTCTCTTCCTCTGATAAATGGTGTAAACAGAATGTTTACTATCATTACAGGTTACACACAACCCATGGCTTGTCTAAATACAAAACACTGTGGTCAGTTGATTCGCCAACTAAACAGAGGTCATGATTGATTGATTTTAGGTCGTTATAGAAAATATTTGATAGTCATGGACCTGACCTTTGGAGAAATGTTATTATTGTATGATGATATTAATAAGTGAATTGGAATCTAAAGAACTAAACTGAAATTAAATTGTGAAGGCAAATGCTTGAGGAATAGAAGGCAGTCAGCACACAGCTAGAGGGCTCCAGCTGGGACGGCAATTCTTAACAGCTGTGACTACATTTTTCGTAAGTCATCTGTACTTGGGCAGAGACCTATTTTATCCTCTTACTTACATGTATCAATTGTGACAAGAGTGTCATCTATGTTCTCTTCTTCATCTTCAGCAGGGGGTTGCGGTGTGCGGGATCTGTACAATATAAGGGAGGTAAGAGGTTAACAGCATTTACGGCGACTTACATTGACAATGACATGCATTTCACTTATTGTTCTGTTAGTGTGTTGTCATGTTGTGCTTATTTGGAACACCAGCTGGAAGCCTAAATGCAAAATATCACAATTTATGATGAGCATACCTCTTGTCCTCACGGTGTTCATAATAGCCGTAGCCTCTATTCTCCTCATACGGTCTCTTACGGCTGTAGTGCCCACCCCTGTCAGCTTCCACTTTGACTTGCTCGGCCTGACCTGCGCCATCTTGCTCACGCTGCTGTTCTGTCTTGTGAATATCCTGCTGTCTGTCTTCAGCAGCCTCAGCGTCATCTTCCATTTTGACCTCCACTTTTATTTCTAAATGATAAAAGTACAAAAACAGTGAGCTACATGTTCAGTGTTACAACTGTCAAGCAGTAATAAGTAGGTCATCAATAAGAGCATATCTGCAATAAGTCATTGTGATAACAGTGTAGTGGAGAGATGTTTCTGTGCCTTGGGCTAGACACGACATAAAAACCACCGCTAACTACAGTTGGATGGAGACTTCTTTGACAGCATCACAAAAATTTGAAAATGAGCATCTATGACTCTGCAGACAGAGACTCACAAGGGGCTCTATGGAGTTTTCTTATAAACAAACAAAAGTTATGTTTCATTTAAATATAGTTATGTTTGTTTACATCCATGTTCACTAGCTTGCAGTTTTCTCCCCTGCCTTTGCTGGTGCACTGCAGCATGTCTTGGCGTGTTAGCACCAACTGCTGATCATGGAATGGTGTGCCATGATTGCTGGGGCTGTGTGTTGTGTCACCTGTGCCAGATATGCATCCTGGTGCACATGCACGAGAAACAAAACAGGGACCCACTCATAGGGAAAACAACTACGTAGTACTGCTAGAGGTCTAAAACTCTGCACTGAGAGACAGTTATGATAGAGTTATGTCGAGCAATGCTATGAATGACGTGACATCACCTAACTATATGTACTCATAAGAATGATGAAGGTGTAAGTTATTCCATATCAAGGGATGTTACAAACTAAAACTAATTAAAAATAAATCTTATCAGGAGAAATGAGTGAAAACACATGGATGAGAAGACTATGTGTAGGTTCTTTGATTTAACAGACCTTAAGTCTGTTAAATTCCCTTGCAGAACTACACGTGAAAGCAGTTTGATTTGGAAAGTCTTAGCTGTTTTAATTTTACTGTTATTCTTGGTTTAGTTTGAATTTCTAAGAAGCTGTCTGTTAAGTCTGAGATTGTTAATATACATCTTAATGACTCAGGAGAAGAAGGTAGCAGCAAAGCAAACTGCACACCAACTCCAACTTGCTCTATGAGGTTACAGTACTAACCGCTGAGTCATTGAGCCACCCTTGATTTGACATGTGTCACCATTAAAAAAAAACACTCTCTTTCTCCCTCTCAACTCTCAAATGTATTTTTATCTTCACTTCACTAATGGTGAATTTTAATGAGGTAAAGATCAAATCAAACCATCTTATTTTGTAAAATCATTGAAAGTCATAAGTTCTTGGAATTTACAAATCCACAAAATGCACCTGTAGACAAAACACTTTGACTACAGGACATGATAGGGTTTCATATTGCACCTTTAGCTGATAAACTACTGAAAATCACCTTGTCTGCTCTCAACTTTCTCCTCTGGCTCCAGCACAGGCTTAGTCTGTTCCTCGGGCATCATATCAGATTTGGGTATATCAACATCTGCTGTGAAGTCAGGCATGCTGTGACCCGAGTCTGAAGTGGGTTGACTTTCGTAAGGCTCGCCCTCTGGCTCCTCCTCCTCATAGTAACCGCCTGAGTCTCTGCCCTCGTCTTCCTCTTCAGGGAGATCACCTTCACCTTCACCTTCACCTTCACCATCCCCTTCACCTTCACCATCACCATCACCATCACCATCACCTTCACCATCACCTTCACCATCACCTTCACCATCACCTTCACCATCCCCATCCCCATCATCATCGCCATAATCATCAGCTTCTGAAAATGAAAAAGGGAGATTCAAAACTTTTAGTTTTCCCTTACATGCATAAAAACAGAAATGTATAAACTCAATGCACTCTTGTGGAACTTTCATGATTTTGACACTTTCTATGCTTTACCTTATCACTAACTGCAAGTGCATTTTTACCTATTCAAATTAATTAAATACTTTCCAATCCTGGAAAATACCTGTGAAGTGAACAATTTTTTAATCTGAGTTCTATGAATGGTTACAAAATGTGGTTCTTAAGTTAACTTTGTCACAAGTCAGTAAAAAGAATTTAAATCTAAAATATTGGTCCGATGCAGCTAAGTGTGTTTATAAAAAGTGCACATATCATAAAATTACACATAAAATGCAAGGTCTGCCAATTATTTTATAATGTTTAATTTATAATTTAAATAAGGGTAAAGACAACGGACTGCTTAGTTTTACTAGCACAAATATAATCAAAGTCAATGTCTGATGGGAGAGAAAAATATCTAAAGAAACAGAATCAACACCTTGTCTCACTTGGGCATCCTCTCCATCTCCATCATCCTCATCTTCTTCATTGTCTTTTTGGTCCTGGCTGTACTCCTCCTCCTGCTCCTGCTCCTGCTCCTGCTCCCCCGGCGATCAAGCATCCGCCTCAGCTTCTGCCTCCAGAGCGGCTTTCAATCTCTCCACCAAGTCTGCCTTTAGGCCCCTGGTGTCCAGGCCGCGGCGCTGGAGCTCCTCTTTTAATTCGTTCACTTTCAGTTTCTTCACGTCAACACTCATTTTGTTTCAGATGCTTTTCGTCTAAATTTGTTTACTGAGAAAACAGAGAAGTACAAAATTGTCAAGTACGGCTAACAACACTGCCTCTTGCTAAGTTTCAAATCGATATCTGTTGCGCGGCAGTCTCAGCCAAACAGCCTACATTAGCTGGTTAGCTAGGCTAGCAGCGGTGGATTTACAGTGCAGCATTATACATTGTTCCACTACAGATCTATAAACCATGCAAGCCCAGGTTTATGACTAACCCTCGTCTGTTTAACTATTTGCAAGACCAAACTATCACTAGAATATTTGCTATGAATGTTATTAGCTTCTGGTTCTCGCTATGTGGCTAACGCTGGTAACCTTCTTAGCGTAACGGTAGCTAACGTCCCGCCAAATGATGCAGGACAAGTAACTTTAACTCCCAGAATATTATAGCTGCAATCGTTACTCTATTTTTGCATGGAAGTTATGTAGTCCATGCATTGTTTGTTCAGTTTGTAAGATAGTTATGATGCAAAATAAGTTTAAAAATAAGATTGAGGCCTACCTCTTCTCACGCTAGTTGCGCGGGTCAGCAGTGGTAAAGATTGAAAGGGTCGCTTCCGCCCTCTAGCGTCCGAAACTCTAACCGGACGTTTGGAACAGTTCAAAGTAGGAAGTAGTGTAGTGTTTACGTTGAAGGCATGCTGGGTAATGTAGTGTCATAAACATACCTACTTAATCACTTCTGCCATCAGCTGAAACTGGATTTCATATAGTTTGTTGTTAGCTCACATGAAGTGATGAGAGTGGGGTGATCTTAATTTGTGTGCAATGTGACACAAACTCCATCAACAGACAGCATACAATTTTATTTTACACCTTCCTTTTACAATTGCCATCACATCCAATATACATGTACCAGCAAAGGGATTCACAGTGTAAATACAATGTGACATGTCTGTGAAACTGCATGGGCAGATATTGTCAAAAACAATCCACTGTTGTGACCTGATGTTTTTGAGTTGCAGTATATAATCTAGACTTACTCATAACTGAAGCCGATCAAGCATGAAAATATGCATTTCCTAAGCGATTAAGGTCCATGAGGATCGCTGAAATAAAAAGTAATATGCTGTAGCTGTTATCAAATATATTAACTTTAGGGTCTAACCCTGTGTTCATATATAGTCAAGTCTTGTAATGGACATGCGAGATGAAACACAGAAATTCACTATGAATATCATAGCAATCCCCCTTTATAACTAGTTGCTCAAAACATGAGCTCATGATACCACCCAAATGTACAGCGCATTGATATGCTCAAGTCCACCTCTTCCACCCTACTTCATGGGTTTAGGGTGTGTGAAGCAGGGTGGTCATATGGCAGCACTATGTTGGTGCACTCTTATTCCATCACACACTGATCAACAAACAATACCATGCCATATAGCAAAGAACTTATTTAATCACTTATTGGTGGGAGCAGGAAAGGACAGCACTAGCCTGTTGACCTCTTTCAATCGAGCTTCTAGAGTCTCTGTGGTTAGTGTTAGTTCTGCTAGTTCAGTCTGTAGGCTTGTGATGGTCTCATTCAGCTCCTCCTCTTTGCGGCGGGAGTTAGAGGCCTGCCTGCTGTACTCCAGCACCATACATCCACCACCGATGAGGAAGATGATTGCCTCTCCCAGCAACTCTGCGCCCAGCTCTGCAGCTGCGTCCTCATTCAGTGGCTTAATGGTGGAACCCCGAAAGCCCATGACCCGCATCTTTGCTCTCATCTCAATCCAGTGGTAAACTGTGAAGACAATGAGCACATAGTACACAAGCACATGAAAATTAGGCTTTCAATATAAGATTTGCTCACAATGTACCAGATGATACACATGAGAATGCATTTGTGATCAGAGATAGTTGTGTTCACATAGGTTGCAGTACGTATTGTGAATGTGAATGCACCACTAACTGCCCTGTAGGATTCCCAAGACAAATTTGTTGTGAGTTTATAGCACAACAAATTTCTCAAGCACGTTTGTTTGCAAGACTCATTTGGTTTTCATTCACACTTTCACTTTCTTTTTAATGTCTTATTCTTTGTTTAAATTGCTGTGTATCATTTTGTGTGACTGGTGTAAATGTTTTTGAAATTAAATAGTGATTACTTCGAGCTAGGTAGGTTTTTCTTGTGAAGTCCTAGTAGAAAAGTTTTCTGGTACAGTACAGCACATATAGTATATTTAACATTACTTTACCTGCCATTTCATCAGTGTTTTGAACCACTTATAAATGTCTAAATAACAGAGCACGGTGCCTGATCTAAAACATTTCCATCTGATATTATAACCTGAACAGGACCTGGGAAAAAAAAACATTCAGATAATTGTCCTCTCCTGTTCTGTCCTAATAAAAGCAAAGGCTTCACTCTGTAACCTGTTCAATGACAAACAAGGCCCTCCCTCTTCGAGCGTCCCTGGCTGCTATTGGTCGACCAGATAAACCGGTGAAAGTGATTGGGTAAGCGGTCTTGACTGATGCAATCCCATTGGATTTCGTAGCGATCCCCGCCCTATCCACCGTCCGGGTGTCTGACACTGAAATCTAGCGGTCATTAGTAGCCGTTAGCTCGGTTACTTACGCTGTGCCGGGGGTAGACATATGTAAGTTTTGAAGAACTCGCTTCTCCGGGCTCCCGCTTTTATCCGATTCGCTACAGGCTTGCTCATCTGCCTCACTCCGAGATACAGGAGCTTGGCGATAGGGAAGGCACCAACAACCATCTTGGCGGAAACGCTTCACCAGTGTGGGGTGGAGCACGTATAGCTTACGCGATGACGTTGTTTTTTTGTTTTTTTACGTTAAATGAATGACGTTAGGTTAAGGGTTAAATGATTAACAAACCCGCCCATTTGTGGTTCACTTGGATCTGGTCCACCTAGGTAAATGTCGCAATCCGAAAAGTTAAAAAAAAAAGATCAATAAATAATAATCCGTGACGTAGCAAAAACAGAACCTTATTAGTACATATAATGGATATCTATGGCCTCTGATTGTATTTTATGCTAGTAGTCTGATTTGGACAACACCAGCATGAATCAGAATGACAGGACATACTGATACTTTTCCTAAAGGGCCCTATCTGGCACAGAAATTGACACGAGATCCCCCTTGAATCAGCTCTAACAACAACAGAATACAACTTAAAAAACTTTGCCCCCACATTTAAAGGCTCAGTGTGTTATAAAATCTGTACTGAAGTTGCTGTAAGTATGTAAAAAAAAAAATATTACTCATATAGATGTTGCATCTTTCACATTAGTCAACATAAATGTATAAAAGAATAATTGTATTCGAATCATATTCTTTGTATTCAATGCTTTCATGTGGGCTACTTCAAAGAAAACGTCAACTGAAAATGTCAGGTCAAACCTGGTGGCATATTTTACCTGGGCCAGCTGTGGTAGAAACACCTGGCTCGGGTTACAGTGGCGGAGAGATCCAGAGGGGCTGGACTCTGAGCCAAAATAACTCCACTCAGTACGCAGCTATGACTAAATGTCTGGAGCCACTGACACAAGAGGCAAACACAGACTAAGGAACCCGACTTCAGGAAGACAAGAAACTTTGACTAGGGCTCAGCTTTTGTTTTTAGTCTGAGACAAAAGAACTAAAGGACTCTCATTCTTGAGGTAATGATTTTTTCAATCCGCTCCGTAACGTAGGCTACGCACTTCTGCGTGGGATTAACTGTATGAGTTTGAAGACTCGTGATGAATTACGCTTTATAATACCATGTTTGTGGCGTACGATTGGTGCGTCGTTAGTGTCTGTTCGTAGCTCCAGTTGATGGGAAAACGTATTTTCCTCTTTAGTTCTTTCCACGGTTTTCTTGTTCATTGTGAGGGGTCTTGTTGCGAGGAGGAGCTTCTTCTTAAACTAATGAAAATCAGATGTTAGGCTACCATCTCTGCCTGGCATGCCTCATAGTCTACGGCCACAGAGTGAAGCTGAAGTGCCACAGCAAAGCTGCTGGACATTGATAGACCTATGTGCAGCCAGTATTATAGTCATTATACAGCTATTTACAACCTATGAGGAGTTACTATCTACAGGGACCCACGAGGTATTATGCTTTTATTAATAGTGATGCTATCTGGTTAAATAGTGTTTTTATGATCTTTTATGTAATATTATTATTGGATGTTCAGCATATTCTGACCTGTCAATATTGAATGAATTAGTGGTGATTTGTGATTGTTGCTGTCCTTTCACGCCCATTCTTATTCCTGAGGGGCAATTTGCAGAGACAGGTAGAGTAGCAGCACAATACAGTAAATTTAAAAAAAAAAAAAGCTGTACACATTATGGTACTAATATAATAGTATAATACATAAATGCAAAAATGAGCGGTTCATGTTATGATAATAATGATATGATAATATTAGTGAATGATGATATTAGTGCAATGAAAGTATAGTGCCATATAAATAGTATCTAATGATATGGGAATGTTGTTGCAAGTTAGGAACTGAAATGTGTTGGCAGGACTGATTTTGACACAACTGTAATTTGTGTGCGAACCAAACCTTCCTGTCAGAGCAGGATTTAGATGGCATTCATCCAACTTGTGTGTTCTGTACTGGTTCTCAATCCAAACCTGCTGGGTTGCATTGTGTCATGCATTTGCAGATACCTGTTTCCTAACAAATTGTTCATACTATCACCAGAACACCTTGTAATTTTACTCTCCTCATAGTGATTCAGTTCATACATGTACACACATGCAAACAGACAGGCATAGTATTTGTCCTCTCTTGGTAATGGCCCTGCTTTGTACACTTCTTTTTTTTTGCTCCTCAGCATGAGCATGACACATTGCAGGCATTAGATTGAGCATGTAACTTGCCAGAAATGTCTGTTATGTTGTGTAGCACTGAGAGATTCCTAAGTCACATGCTGCGGAGAACACTGTGAAGAGGATAGCTAGCATAGTGCCAGAGGCCACTTTGCCAAAGGAGAGCCTGCAGCATCATGAGTGTGCTGCACACTTGTGTGTGTATTTACACAGGTAGACAGGCTAAGCATTTCATTGAATTAGTAGGTTGGGGCGTAAGCATTATAAAAAAGTACTTTGGGTGGAGTTTTTGTATGTGAGAAGCTTATGCTTGATGAAAGCTGGGAGTAGAAGACATGAATGATCTATGAGCTATTTATGGATGGTCATAGGTCAACTCATCATTCAACAGTCAAATTTTACTCAACAGCTTATGTACAGTAGCTGGGAAAAAAGTCGATACAGCTCGAGACCTGAGGTGAGGTGTTGCAGATACACTTTTCTTGGAAACACTTCCTGTGGTGGCAGGTACTGAAGGGGAAAACCATAAATGCACCAGATGATCTCCTTCCTAGAGCTCTATGACACAAATTCCTGGTGTCTTATGCAACAATTACACAATAACTCCCACCTGCATTTGCACATTTTGCCATGACCTTAATCTCCAGTTAGAATCCAGAAATACTAGCAGCTCATTTTAATTGACTCCCCATTATTCGAGATGGTGGTGAGCCAGTGTAAACATGACACCTTTGTTATCTTTGAGCTTGGACTTCTGCCATGAAAACACTTCCAGGTGAACTCACACCAATGATATTCTGGATATTTTGAATCAGGCTCTATGCAAGAGCAGTTAAGAAAGCTTGTGAAAATAAGATTTTAAAAGCAATGTGTATGTTTTCCCTGGAGCTTAAGAGAGTGTATCACCGCAGCCATGTGAAATCACAACTGTGGGGATTGGCAGCAGGTTTATCCACCAGTGGTAGTTTTGTGGTAATTTAGTTTATGTTGTGTGCATGATGACTAACAGCCAGACTTAGATTTTAGAAGTCCTTGACAAAGAAAAATGAAAAGCAAATCACAAAGGAAAGCATCAAGTTGTAATACAGGAATTTTCTTATCATTCGGTCTCAGCCAGGTTCCCTGCCATGAGTGAACTTAGACAAAGCCAGACAGGTCTAGAGGAAGGATATGAATGAGGCAGCCACAATTGTGAAACAGGAGAGGAAGGAAAGGAATGGACGCCTAGATGAAAATGAGGAGTTCAGCAGAGACTAGAGAATCAGTTAGATGCGTAATCATGGATTGTTGGTGAAGTACTTAAAAGGAATGGGAGAGAAGGAGGGACTGCGTGTAGTCTCGGTCAGACACACCCTGGCATTCTGCAAAACTAATGATTATTGTCTTTAATCCTTAAACCTCCTTTCTGCTTCCCACAGGATCTTTCTGCTTTTCTGAGTGTCCATTAGCAAAGTTTCTGAGTTGCCAAGTTAAGGAGTTAAGCACTCCCTCATGTTTTTATCTTGTGGTTTTCATCTTGACTTTACCACTCGAGAGAGCTAATTGAGGTATGTTAAAATGGTTGAACCAGCTGCCATTGTAATCTAAGCACTGGAAAGAAAATGTTTATGACATTTTAAAGAAACTTCTCGTGAGAAAGCGACTGAAGTGCAGCAGCAGGTCAGCAAGCCTGGTCTAGAGAACAGCATCGCTGCAGCGACCACAATCTGTCAGTCCACGTTAAATTTTGAGATGATTAATGTTTCTGTTCCTGAATGCTGAAAGGAAAAGTCTAGCCTAGAAAACAAGTTCACCTTACTGTATTTGCGCAATAGTAAAATATGCTAATAAGAGTGAAGAGAAGATGCAAATTACCACTGATGTTTTTAATTACAGTTTTCATCTTATTAAGTATTCAATGTTCACTAACAGCACTTTCATATGTAGTTTGGTGGTGATGTGATAATGTGCCAGTGACAACACAGCACACAGAAGCGTTTCACAGGGAGGGGAGAGGCGGGGTGAATGAATTACAGGGCAGGAAGAGGGAGAGTTGAGCCAGCGAGTGATCGACCTGACCTTTGTGAGTCAGAGAGAGTTTAATCTGTTTTTGTGTGAGCTGCCGTTGACAGAGATAAGCGTCCCAGACATTGTGAGGTGGATGCCTCACTGGGAGGAGTGGTAAGGAATGTGAGCCTGTCGCCAGAACGACAAGTCCCTGCTACAGCACAGCACAGCACACATTGTGAAGAACATTTATTATCTGACAGTGCTGTGCACTTCAATTTGATGACCTTATGTGACATGTTTCCTTCTTGTCCAGGCTAATGTTCAACTGGTGTTGGGGGCTTATCCAGTGAATGAGAAGGGTGTGTCAGATGTTGTCAAGGGGCACAAAAAGGGAACGAGAAGTGAAAAAATCCTTTCAACACCTCCAAAGCTGTGTTATGTGTATCATATCTTGTTTTCTGTTTCTGTATAACTAAACAAAATACAACTAGAGAAGAGAGCTTTGGAGATGTTGTAAGGCTTATTTTTCCACGGTTGAAGAAATACATTCAATAAATGAAGGTTACCATTGAAAAAATAGGGTATTACTAACTGAAGAACATGCAGACAGGGCATTCAGGGCCAGCAGTAGGCACAAGAAGAAACCAATACACCTGTTATACAATGCACATGATGATATAATACAGTTTAAGAGTAGCCCTTAGTTGGTTTTTGAAGTGGGAAACGTACCAAAACAGCTCACAGTAATGGTAAGTGGTCACACAGCAGGCCTAGCTGCTGAATCATCAGGGACAGAGGATTCCTTGTTTTCCACAGCCAGAAAGACTGACTTCACTTTCCATCTGCCTGTGTTACTAAACTTGAATGGCATTATTAGTTAAAGCAGGATTGTAAATGGGAGACAGGTGTGTGAGGACTTTGATAAACGTATGATTTAAATAAAATGT